ATTCAGGGAACTTCCCGAAGTTGATAGCGGTACTTCCGCACGTGATCCTCCGGAGACTCCGCTAAAGACTTCGGGATGTTCCCGTAAATTGTCTGAGTGTATGAGTCAGGACTAACAATTACTTATAATTTCTAGAAGAGAGTAGAGCGATTTTTCAAAAGGAGAACAGGAGAACATTCCAGGAGAACAAGGGACTGGTGGTGTGTAGACTCACAGGATATGGACAAACTGGACCACTATCACAAGAAGCTGGCCATGACATCAACTATGTTGCAATTACAGGTGCGTTTTCAAATCAACTTCTTCTCAAAAAAATGCTAATTTGAGGTCTGATGCCAACAATATCCGGTCATGGTTGCCATCGTCCCTGGCCACCAGTGAACTTGCTGGCTGACTTTGCTGGAGGAGGACTTACAGCGGCTTTTGGGATAGTTGCAGCTTTGCTAAAGAGGGAAAAGAATGGTCTGTCACTAAAAGGAAGGTCACAGCGAGAATTTCACAAAAAAAAGGAAATCTTCAGGTGGCCATGGCTGTGTGATCGACTGTTCTATGTCAGAGGGTCTTTCTTACTTAGCTTCGTTTGTTCATCGCTACCATGATATGGCGCATTTGTGGACTGATAAGTATGCTGCATTCTCGGGAGACTGTCCAATCTATAGGTGAGTGTGATCTACACGAGAAGATTCATTTGAGCAGCTAGAAGGACTATGTACTTAACAATCGAGGACATTTTGAATATTTTCTCACGGTCTCATGATAAGTACAATGACGAGCCTGCAAGAACGCATTCGACTGGTTTTTATTGAGCTTAGTGTTAGAGCAACTCCGGACTCGGGATTTTCTTATATTAGGTCGTTCCGAAAGTTTTTTCCTGTTTTTTCGATCTATCATAAAAACGCGTAAGATAAAGATGAGTAACCGCTTCAAAAGCTATTCGACGCAGTTTTTCTTCCTCTTTCTAGAAATCGTGTTTTCACACCATTTGCTTGCATGATTACTAACAATAAGATAATTGCAGAAATGTTGAACCCATG